CAGGGGCTTTATGACGAAGTCACCAGCATTTATGGCTCTTGGAAAGCTGACATATAAAAAAGAAGTTATAGGCCAGGTGTGGTGGCTCTCACCTGTAATCCCAGCACTTTGGGAGGTCAAGACTGGGTGTGATGGCTCACACCTATAATCCTACCACTCTGGGTAGGAGGCTGGAGTAGGTGGATTGTCTGAGCTGAGGAGTTCAAGATCAGACTGACCAACAGCAAGACCATATCTCTAAAAAATAGCTGGGCATCAGCTACTTGTAAGGCTGAGGCAGGAGAATCGCTGAAGCCCAAGAGTCTGAGGCTGCTGTGAGTTGTGATGCCATGGCACTCTACCCAGGGTGACAGCTTGAGACTCTTATCTCAAAAAAATAAAAAATAGCTGGACATTGTGGCAGGCACCTGTAGTCCCAGCTACTTGGGAGGCTGAGGTAAGAGGATGGCTTAAGCCCAGGAATTTGAGGTTGCTATGAGCTAAGATGATCTCACAACATCTACCCAGGGTGACAGAGTGAGACTCTATCTCAAAAAAGCAAAAAAGAAAAAATGATGAACCAAAATAATAAAGTTCCTAACCATGCATTGGAACCCTCAAGGGCTTGTGAAAACAGGAGGCTGCCCCCCTCCCTAGGTGCTGATATGGAAGGGGGGCATGGGCCTGCATTTCCAACAAGCTGCCTGGGTGTGACCTCTCTCACTCTGGAGCTCGCCAAGGTCTCAAACTAGGCTTCATGTCTGATTCACTTGGGGACAACCAGATCTACCTCCAGGGACCCTAATCAGCTCCCTTCAGTCCCCTTCACTACAGAACACAAAGGAGGTGTCCTGCCACATCCAACAACTGCTCTTGCTGCCTATAAGGCCCAAATGTCCATATGCAAGAAAAGAGACTCTGGCCACACCAGTGGTCTATGCTTGGCTATATTAAGAGCACACAGCTTTATTCAGCGATAATGGCAGTATTTCACAAGAATGAGCTGCACGATGGTGTGAATGTTGCTTTCAGCACAAAGTCTGGGAGCGAATAGTTACAGCAACAGAGCCCTGACCCCATGGTCCTGCCCTTCCCTCCCTGGGGCACTTGGATGTGTGTACCGGGCCTCAACCTGGCCCCTTTGGTGCTGTCACCTGCCCTCTCCATGGCGTTTGCCTCTACCAGGCCACTGGGCTGTGGGGAGGGCTCAGGCCAGGTCCCCTGGTCAGGGCTGTCATCCCATTTCTTCTTTCCCCAAGCCACCTGGGGAGCAGCTGGGTGGCAAGAACTTCCCCCGACACAGGGACCCAAATCTCCAGTGGGTCCCGACTCCACCTCTTCTTTGGCCGCAAGGCGTTTTCCTCAGTGAAAGTTTACCAAGAGGGTTTCAGAGTTCTGCCCCCTCTGTCCCCTGCAAGTAGGCAGGGGACAGGGTAGCCTTACAATGAAAGTAGGAGCTGCAGGAAAACACACAAAGGGAAGGCCAGGCCCAGGACCTGTTGGGGCTGAGTGGAGAAGGTTGGATTTGATTTTTGTCCTAATTCAGGGTGCATCCCAGCAACTGACTTAACAGATAGCAGAGCAAACTGTCTGAGATGCCCATGTGACACTTGTGTATCCCTGTGTGTCTGTGTACACACTCATCTATGATCATGCCCATCTGTGCATGTGACCCTCCACTATGTATCCATAATCATGGATGGCCTTCTTCCAACTCTCTGGCATAGGCAGGGCTGCCCAGCGGAGGGAATTGCAAACCCCCAACAGATAGCAGACATGCCAGTATGAGGAGAAAGGGTGAAGACCAGCCAGGCCCACCTTGGAGAGAACAGGGAATAAGCCTGGTGTCACAGTCCTGCTCAGAGTCTCTTTAAGGATGGAGGGTAGGGTAAGAGTGACTGAGAGGTGCTTACTTCAGTGGCTGGACTATACAGATGGGCAAATGGCTGTGGGCATGACACAGAGGGGCTTGTGACACTGGCTGGACTATACAGGTGGCCAACCAACCAGGTCAATAACCCCTCACACATGAATCCTTCCTGGTCAGAGGTGCACCCACCCTGCCCAAAGCTCTAAGTAGGCAATCACTTAACACTGATATGGGGAATGGAGTGCTCACACAGTATAAGTTTTAACAGATTTGTAGAGGGGCGGGAGCAGCCCGTGGTTTTCGCGGACAATTTCCAGGTACTCAGATGGAGTCTCCAGCAAGAAGGGCCCACAGCACATCTGGCAGCAGCACCTGACCCCAGAGGGTGGCTCCGGGTTCTTGTCAGACATGGGGGAAAAGTCAAAATCAGCCACCTATGGTGAACAAAACCCCAAGGGTCAATCACCCACCCACCAGGAGCCCCATCAGGTGGCCTTATGAGCTGATCAGCTTCCAGGCAGCACCGTGTACAGTAACATCCTTCTGGCACCACATGTATGCCAAGGACCATCACAGGAGATAAATCATGCAGAATACCAACTTAATAATTTCTCCTGCTCTATGGATGCCTCTTGGGCACATCATACCAAGCCCCAAGGTCTTGCTCTAACATCAGGATCCCCTCCAGGCATCCTGGCCTGGCTCCCAAACCCTCTCCAAAGACCCTCCCTAGGCAGGGCCCAGTGGTCCAGCCCCCACTTTTCTGAGCACCCACCTCCACCATGTCCTTCTGCTGAGTTGCATTCCGCAGGGTCATGTACATGATGAAGGCCAGCATCACAGTGATAAGTGTGGCACATGGGAAGGCAAAGACAGCGGGCTGGATGCCTAGGAGTGAGAGAAGTGAAGTCACCAGACCAGGTAGCTAGCTGGTGCTGAAACACTGGTTCTTTGGAGGCAAACATAATGGGGGAGAGAAGAGTCAACCCTAACCCCCACCAGTGATTTTTTTCTTATGCATATGCATCCCAACTAGACAACCCCAATGGACAAGTCCAGGTCTTCACACACACACGCACACACGCGTACGCACGCACACACAAAGCAGGATAAGGGCTTCTTTAAAATACATTCGTAAGGGGTGGTGCCTGTGGCTCAAAGGAGTAGGGCATCGGCCCTGTATGCCAGAGGTGGCGGGTTCAAATCCAGCCCTGGCCAAAAACTGCAAAAAATAAAAAAAAAAAAATACAATCCGTAAGTTACTTGATAGTAACTTCCAAGAGGGGCAGCTAAATTTCCCACCCCTTGAGTGTGGCTGGACTCAGTGTCCACATCCTATACCAGATGACAGGAGCAATGGTGCATGACTCCCAAATCCAAGTCATGAATGCCATAAAAGACATCATAGTTTCCTCCTCGCTTTCTTAGGTAATGTGCTGTGGGGAAGGGAAGCCATGTTGTGAGGACATCCAAGTAGTGCTGTGACTGCAACTACAGCTTCCTGACCTTTGGCAACTCCAGGTTCACTCACTGAGCCTATTGCTAGGAAGAGGCATGGTGTAGTAGAAAGAGCTCATTGTTTGCAGCTGGGCAATTCTGGGTTCAAGTCTTGGCTCTGTCCTGACTACCTAAAGCTAATGCTGACCTGCGAGGCTGCCATGAAGATGTGATGAGGAGGGGCATGGATGTTCCCGGCATGTGGCAGGTGATCAGGAAGTGTGGGTTTCCTCTCACACTTCCCTCACCGTCTGCCATCAAGATCTATTTCCTAAGAAAAGGTAATGCTGATTGCCAGTACTGCTGTCTTTTCTGCAGAATTCAGAAGGATCTCTGGCACTCAGTGCCCAGGGGGTGCTGAGAACTCAAGGCCCCCAATGATGTACACAAGATCAGCCACGGCCCAGAGTGGAGCATGGTGGACTGGGGAGACTACAGGGGATAGTGGCAGCATCAGATGCACCTACTGGAACAGCCTCAAGAACAAGTGCAGCTGGCAGGGCTTGGCATGAGTGAAGGAGCACATTCCTAACCCAGGGAACAGCATGAGACCAGGAGCCTGAAAGTTGGGTTTGGACTCAGGCTGACATTTAGTCTTGTTGCCTTGCTGTGCCTTAGGTTCCCCTCATATAGCATAAAAGATGGGGCCAAGTCAGGCATCTGAAAGACCACTCCTTAAGATCCTGGGATCCCACTTTCTCCTCTGTGTAAGGAAGCACCTTTCTGGGTTCCTGCAGTCCCTCAAGGAAATGAAGTAGATCCTAATGCTGTCATTCGCTAATCCTGTGACTGTAAGCCAGTGGCCACGCCTGATGATAGTCTAGGGAGAAGGGTTGGTTCCTTATTACTGACTCAATCTGTACTTCAGACTTTCAGAGCAGCTCCTTCTCCTTGGAACACTCACCAAAGTTCTGTGAGTTGGACAGAATTACTGTTAGGAATGCTGGTTTGAGTGGTAGCAACCACTAGGATGGAAGTGAAGGAAGTGAGGCAGTGGGGATGGAGTGGAGGGAACACTGCAATCATGGTGGCTCATTTTGTGATGGGGACATGGGTGGTCTCGGGAATATGTGGGAAGCTACACTAACAGCAATGGTGTTGTCCACAGGGTTGGCACGGGGGGGGGGGGGCATGGGCTTATAAGAATGGTGGGGGCAGGAGTCACAGAGGTGATGGGGTAGGAATGCTGGCTGAGTTCTTAGTAGTGACAATGACGATGCTGGAAGAGTTGTTAGCACAGTGCACAGTCATGATGGCAGCTGAGTTGGTTGTTATGTTAGTGGTGCTGGTGTTGATGGTGGTCTTGGTGAAGCTGATGGATGGTGGTTCTGGGGTTGGCAGAGCTGGTTGGTGGTATTAGCAGTTTGCCTACAGCAGTGGTGGCAGTTGCTGGAGGCAGTAGGGTTACTGATGGTGCTGATGCTAGGGGGTTTGGGTGCCAAGGACCTTGGTAGGGTTGGCCGGTAGGAGTGTACCGGTGGCAGTGATGGGGTGAATAGTTTTGTGCTGCCCATGTGGCATGGGAGCAGAAGGTGAGGTGTCACTTACTGGAGGGCCACACTTGGATCCTGTGGTATTGATGTGCCTTGCTGATGACATTCTCCGCCCGGATGCTAAAGCAGTAGTCCCCTGGATCCCTGAAGATGTGGGTCAGGTTGTAAGCTGTACTGGCCACAGACACGGGATGGCATTCCCCTTCCTCCAGCGGGAGGCACTCAGGCTTGAGACGCCAGCACACAGTCAGAGGCGGGCTGTAGGAAAATGGGAATAGTTTTTCAGAAATGGCTCAGCAAAGAGTGTGAGGACCAAGGCCAAGAAAGGCTGATGGGCACAAGCATCAGTGTCCTTTCCATAATAGGACACCAAGATGTCACATATTCCAGAGCAGGGAACACAATGGTGCAGAAGAGAGGGCCCCTGACCACAGGTGGATCTCAAGCTAGGAGACAGAGACACACACAGACTACTACCCCAGGGCAGAATGAGTGCTCTGATGGCGCATGCCATGTGCTAGGGAAACATGGGGGAATAATGAGCACGTTCTTCATGAGGAAATCAGAGAAGACTTCCTGGAGGAGGTGACATTTGAGCAGGCTTTGAAAGGATAAGTAGGCCTTTGATAAGTGAGAACGGGTGAGGGTATTCTGGGCTATCTGCATGCCACAGGCATGAGCTCAAAAGTCAGAAAATGCAGGCCCATCAGAACCCCAGGTCCTGAGTAGCTATCCACTCCCGCCACCTTAAAGATCAAGGCTGCTGCCCTAATGCCTTCCCACTTTCCATATGCGAAGCTCCTGCCTCTAAAGCCCCATAAAAGCTTTAGAAACTACCTCCAAGCCCTAAGTTAGCTCATCGTCCTCTTTCCTGAACCTCCTTTGCTCACTTTCTGTCTGGCCCATATCCCTCGGATATGTCCCAGTGTGAGGATGAGAGTCCTTTGAAGCCTGGACCCTGGCCACTGACCTCTGTAGCTTTATCCATCTCTGTGGCCCCATGGGGGTTGGAGATGACCTTGTGGGGAGGACACACCCAGCATCTCCGAGTCTCCACTGAACATTCAGCCTCATGCCCTTCTTACCAAGAGCCTGCACCATACCCCCCCCCCCAGCAGGGGTGCTGATTAGAATCCCTTGGGATTATCTGCTTCTGTTTCTTGTGGGGTGACCCTCACACCCTCTACTGTACACAGAGGAGCAGTGAATAGTTCTGCCTTATCTCTCAGGCTTCTAGAATGGTGCCTGTCCAAAGAAGACTCTCAGCCAACTTCTGCTAGCTGGTCCCAGCTCCCCTACACAGGCCAGAGGACTCTCAGGAGGCAGGCATTTCAGGGGGCTTTGGAGGACAAGAATGTTTGAACATGTGAGAGGAGTGAAAGGGAACTCGGAGGAGGAACTGTGCAGACAAAGGCTACAGGGCTAGAAAACTAGCCCAAGTCACCCATGGGGGCTCCTTACAGTGGGGAGCCTCCAAACCTTTGCTGTAGACAGACCATCCTCCCTCCCTGGCACTTGGAAAATAGGGCTATGTCCACACTCACCCCATGACACAGCCTCAGAACACACCCTTGCTTGGGGCCCATGAGGGGGTGCAACAGGCGGGAGAGCACCTTTCAGAGCATGTAAGCAGGGCCCACAGGCTCCTACAGTGTACTCTGAGGTTCACTCACCTCCCCAAGAAGTTCAAGGTCACTGTCATCTTTTGGAAGGTCTGAATTAGGGTAGGCCCCAAAACTTGGATGCCTCGAAGAGTTTCTGTAAGGCAGGAAGAGCCCCATTAGACCTTGTGTCTGAAAACTACTGTCACAGGCTCCCAGGGTCCACGGGCTGTGTGACTACCACCCTGTCCTCTGTCTTTCTCCCAAGGGAGGGTTGCAGGTCTGTCCAGGGCACCTCGAGGTCCTGCCTCCGCTGTTCAGCAGCAGGTGCTAGAGCTGGCTTAGAGGGAGGAAATTGGAGAAGAAAGGCAAAGGGCACCTGTCCCACCCCCTCCCACAGAACCATTATCTGTGCTACTGAGGAAAAATACCACCCCGATAGCATGAACCAAGAAATCTTCCACAGCTGCCCAGGCATTCCTTCTTGGCAAAGGTAGGGAGAGACAGGTTTGGGTACATCCTCCCTGTGTAGTAGACATACGCCATCTACCAATGGGGAACACAACCAGCAAGACAGGCCAATTTGTGGCAGACAACTGGTCACAGGCTTAGGCTTTGGGAACAGGTAGGCTTGGACTCAAATGCCACTCTGCCATTGAGTGGCCATGTGACCATGTCTGTGGTCTTTGATGCCCTCTTTGAAGCAGGGATAATGACAGAGACTGCTCAGAAGACAGGATGGGCCTCTAGCCTGAGCCACTCTGCTCTGTGCAGCCAGTGACCCCACTCTGGAAGGAGCAGTGTTGGAGCTCCCCATGGGGCCCGATGCTTAGCTTTTGTGAGCCCAGCTGGAGACTCACCCTGAAGCTTTAGCGAGGCAGAGAAGTCACCCGTCTTCTGCAAGACACCCTTTGCAGAGCCTGGCTCTGCCTGCTCCCACTCAGCCACCACTTTGAGCTTCACAGTGAAGGTTCCAATGATGGAATAGTTATAATAGACCATGGAGTCTTCAGTCACCATCTGGGTCCTGTGAAGGGACAGGGAAGAGAAAAACAGATGTCAGAAGGTTGTTTCCCCTTCTCGTAACTCAGAAATGATTCACGTGCCTTGTTAGAATCAGGGATGGCTGTACAGTGACACTCCCAGCTGCCAATGAGCACTCCTGTCATTGCAGCAGAGCCCCTAGAGCCAACTGGAACTTGAGATCAGCAGAGCTGTTTCCCAGATAGAAACTGAGGCCCAGGAGAATAGGAAAGGACCCACATCCTTTCCTCTTCTCTCAGTGAGGGACTCTGATGTGGACGAGAGGTTCTGTGCCCTCCAAGAGGCAGCTATAATACCTATCAGTCTCATGTTGCACAGAGGCAGCTGGCAGGGTTCTCAGCTCTGCAGACTGTCAGAATCAGGCATGGCTTTGATGTACCAACCTCCAGATGCCTTCACCAATGCTAGCAAATGGGAAGCTTGGGTCCCACCAGGCCCCATCACCTCTAGAGAACTTGCCAGACGCCTACACTGTGTTTAAGTTGCTGCTCGCTGGCTTTTTGCTTCTAAGTTATAGGTAGGAGAACTCCCAGCAATGGGCTCTCTCCATCACCCCACCTCCCAGCCAAGAATCTGGGAGATGCCTTGTATTATAGACAATGTTCAGATACAACAGAAATAGTAAATAAGTCCTTGACTTGGAAGGAAATGCCCCTAATAAGCATGGAGACAGTTCCCTCCATCTGTTTAAGACAGATGATCCAGATATTCTTTATTATGATAAAAGCCATACGCACACACACACGTACACACGGCATAAAAAAATGTATACGCATTTTAAGAAAGGAAAAAAGTGTATTAAATTTGTAATAATATATGCCCATAACAGAAGATGAATACAAATCACATTTGAGCATCTCTTACAATTGCAGAAGTCAAACAAAATGTGGGTATTACAAATTTAATACACTTTTTTCCTTAGTATGCTTTTTTCCTTTCTTAAAATGTGTATACATTTTCTGGCACCCTCTGTGTGTGGGTGCATCTCTGTGTGTACAAAATTTAATTGGATGAACTTTACCATCTCTATCACATTCCAAAAATCATGCAGTTATTCCTGTTGAAACTTTTCTTGGGTTTGTGTTAAACTTACAGAATAACTGGGGTTGGGGAGGGATGCATATCTCATAAGCAGGACATGGAGTACATATTCATTTCCTCAGATCTTTTTTTTTTTTTTGGTGACAGACTCTCACTCTGTTGCCCAGGCTGGAGCACTGTGGCATCAGCCTAGCCCATAGCAACCTCCAGTTCTTGGGTCTCAGGCTCCCAAATAGCTGGGACTACTGGCAGGAGCCACCATGCCTGACTAATTTTTCTATTTTTAGTAGAGATGGGATCTCACTCTTACTCGGGGCTGGTGTCAAACTCCTGAGCTCAAGCGAGCCTCCTGCCTCAGCCTCCCAGAGTACTAGGATTACAGGGCTGAGCCACTGTGCCTGGCCCATTTCCTCAAATCTTGGATACTGTTCAGTAGCTATGTAGTTTTCTTCACATGAGATCTTGACCATTTCCAGGTTAATCATGTTCTCATGTTAATTTTATAAACTAGTTTTCTTATTTTTAGAAGGAATCCCCTCTTTATCTTCCAACATGTTATTGCTAGTATATAAGAAAGCTATTGATACTTTCCACTAGTTTCCCCCACTGCTTCTCTAGATCTATGTTTTCCAATATAGAGATAGCTACTGGACACATGTGGCTGGGTTTTTTGAAACTAAAAATAGGTAAAATTTAAAATTTATTTCTCAGTCTTATTAGCCAAAATGCAAAGGCTCAATAGCTCAATGGTAGAGGAACAGAGTCACCCAAATTTCCACTGGACAGTGAGAGCTATTTCTTCAAGTAGGTAATATAAGTTTCTTCAACTAAATAATCTTTTCTGCAAATTGTCTGCTTTGTAATATTTATATCTCATTTATCTTTTTGACTTTGTGAATAACTTAGAACTTCTAGGATAATGTTCGAGGATGGAAATAAAGAGTATACTTGTCTTCTTTTATTTTCTTAATTTTTTTTTGTGAGGGAGCATCCTTGTCTCATTCCTGCATGTAGGGCTGGGCTCCCCCCAGCACTTCAATGGAATGATTCCCCAAAAGTGTTTGACCACAGGTCCTTTTTCTCATTGAGGGCTATGGAATCCACACTTTACATTTCACCACTTGGTATGATGTTAGTTGTTGATTCCACCAACTTCTTTTTCTAGTTTACTGAGAATTACATTGAACACCCATTTCTGCTGATTCTAACACTTTGTTGGGGATCTAGAGAGATGATCCTATCATCTTTCTTCTTTAACTTATTAAAATGATGAACCAGGTGGATTTCTTTCTGGTTGGAAATCTCACCCGCGGGTGGAATAAAGCCATTTTAATTGTACAAACTGGGCCTCTGTTTTCCTTTCATCTTGTACCTCAGAATAATCTTTCATCTTTGGCTGCATAGCCTTTCATGTGGTGCCGAACCCAGGATGGGGAGAAGCCCCTTTGGGGGGGGCGGCTAAGTATACCTCACTGGATGCAGCTAAATAGACCCTTCTGGGTCTATTCTGGAGAAATGAAAAGAAAATGGGTGAAATGAAAGAAAACAGGAAACCTCTCTGACCCTGCCTAAACTTCATCCATCTAATGGTGAGCATTTTCCGTCTAGAATTCCTTTTTTTTTTTTTTTTTTGGCCGAGGCAGGGTTTGAACCTACCACCCTGGGTATATGGGGCCAGTGCCCTACTCCTTTGAGTCACAGGTGCCACCCTAGAACTCCTTTCTAAACTTTCTTTAACTTGTCTTCCCATCATCTACTCTTAACTTCCTCTTTCCCTCTCCTTCCATCTCTGGATCTCTTACTTCCTTCTCCTCCATTTTTTTTTTCCTGCTGGTTTCACACGTGGAGGGCTTGCTTCCCTGATCTCAGCCCCAGCCACCCCAGCAAGCCAGGCTCACCCGTCTGTCCAATGCCTCGTGTTTGGGGATGCCCTCTTATAGACCTGGGCTCTGCTGGTTCCCCAGCTTCACCCCTTTGGTGCCCTACTGTGGACCTAGACCCCTCCAGCTGATTAAGGTCAGGTGCAGAGGCTAGGCCCTCTTTTGACCAAAGTTGTACAGGGAAAGTCCAGGTAATCTCCCAATGCCAGCCTCAATGAGCCAGGCTCATCCATTGCCATACTGTGGGCTGGACCATTTTCGGTAGTTCTGTGAGCCAGGATCACCTGTCCAGCCTGGATCACCACCTTTTTTGGCCGATCTGACTTTCTTCTTCCTCCTCCTACATTCTCCTTTTAATCGCATGTCTTTTCCTATCTCCAGTTTTCAATATGGGCACTGTTCAGTCACAGATTTCCCCTCGCTCACCACTAAGCTGCCTTTTACCTCCTGAATAATGGATTCCCCCTTCTTTACTTCTAAACTGTCTTTTGACTAATCTCAAACCTCTAAAGCTCTGACCTCAAACCAAAACATCTCATTTTTTTCTATAATACTGCTTGGCTTGTATACAAGCTTGACAGTGGCTTGCAGTGGCCTCACCATGGCACCTTCGATCTCTCAATTCTCACTGACCTCAATAAGTACTGTCAATAATTAGGCAAATGTTAAGAGATCCCTTATATCCAGGCATTTCTCATACTCTAAAACATTCCTTCCCAGTGTTCATCCTGTGAACTCTCTCAGATTGTCCTGGCACGGGTAACACCAGCTTCTCCTGACACCATTCCATAGCCCCTACTGCTACTCTCCAACTCCCCCTCCTACAATCCCTCTATTCTTTAGATCAGAACACCTGGGAAGTTTCTCTGTGTGGGATACCTCTCTTCATCTATAACCTCCTATCAGCCACCCATTTTCATTGCCTTCCAATCCCCACGTCCATATCTTTCCCTTAAATAATACCCCATCCCCCCTCTCTCCACTGCCTTTCACCCACCATCTGCCACAGGTGGTAGAAAAAAAAGTGGTGGCATTTCCTCCAGGGCCCTCAGACCTCCCAGCAAGATCTCATTGATCTAGCCTTCAAGGTGTGGCAGTACCTCTCAGAGCTCCAATATTGGCTTCTGCCATTAAGCAAAACCTGGCTATTTCTTAAAACTCAGAAAGGCATTCTGAAAAAAAAAAAAAAAAAAACTCTTCCTTGATATCATACTTTAAGCACAGCAAACGAGGCTTCTTGGCAAAGCAATGCCCCAAATCCAACCCCCTCCAAAACCATGTCCAGCCCGCAGAGGTCTGGCTGCCCAGGTCTTTCTGAAGATCCAGAGCAGACATTCTCAGAACATGGCTGAAGTTCCCTCCTGAGCCTAGCTGCAAGACTGATGACCCACCCCCCACCCACCCCTGGGAAAATCAGTATACCTCCTGGATGCTGTCCTGGAAAACTGAACTCTAGGCATTTTTACTTATAGAAGGTAAGCCAATCTTTTCTCTTTTCTAACACACATGGGAGCAACTTCATCCACTCTGCCACCTTGTAAAAAATCCTCTAAAAATGGCCAGGGATCTTGATAATGGGTATTTATGTCCTCTCAGGATTGCTGGAGGCCCTGGCACCTCCAACTGGTTCCTGCCTCTCACTGTCCATCTTCCTCTTTGGTTA